CACTTCAGCGTGAGTTCGATCCCGGCCAGGGAGCTGATCCACAGGGCGCGCCAGACCCGCAGACCTCTCCTGTCCCTCCCGCTGCTTCCCTCAGCTCTTTATTTCAGTGATCTGCCTGTTCTGTTCCCCACTCTGTCTCTGGTGAATCCTCTCACCACCCCTGCATCTCTGACCTGTACCCAGTTCCGTATGCATGTATAAATAAATATTTTTTAAAAAATTCAAGCTTTTTCCAAAAAGAATGCAAGATCCTTTCTGACTAAAGCAATTTTGTTCATTTTTCTCCCTTTAGCATCTCACATACAATATGAAGTCACTTTAAAAGTCTGTGACAATATTTTAAAACTAGCCTCGTTTCTGCCAAAGTACAAATAAACAAAGTGAGCTGAATGTACTTAAATATGTTGTGAAAGGGGGAAGTTGAAAGCACAACCTAGGAAACAATTTAGAAATGAATTACTGTGTTTTTGAGCCATATATGTTCACAGACATTGATGACAGGACCCTCGTCAGAAGATCTTATCCATTTGTGAAGCTCTACCAGGGTGTCCTCAAACCTCATCACCTTTCTCTGCCTCTCTAGTGTGCTTACCCCCCAACAATCTTCCCTGGAGGCCTTGACTGGATGTTCGCTCCCACTGCAGTCTGAGGACTTGCTGTTTACCTCCCTTGGTGTCCCCCGGTCACAAGACAGACAGGCTTCCTGTTACTGTTGCTCCCCAAGGCACCTCCCCAGTGAAGCCTTCACTGAACATCCCTACTCTCTGCTTACACCATCGTTCTGTCAGGCGCTAATTTATGTGACTTCTTGAGAGTTCTCACTTTCCTCTTCAGGATTTTGGTGTTGAAAATTCATGCTCTCTTCATGAATTCCTTCACTCATTCAACAAATGTTTATTGAGCACCTAACATATGCGAAGCACAATTTTAAGTCCTAAAGGGTGAGCAGCAAATAAAACAGAACAGATCCTGCCTTCAAGGGGTTTATATCCTAGAAGGGATGTTCAGAGTGGAGGCATTTCTGTAGACATAATGAAGGAGGAAATACATGTTTAAACAGTAGCAATGGTTTAGAGGAAAGAAAAAAAAATCAGGGCAACTTAAGGAGGATCAGTGGTTTCAGTTGTGTGTGTAGGAGTGCACTGAAGTACGAAATATAATTAGGGTGGACCTCAGAGAGGTGACAGGATTGAAGACGGTGATGGTGTTAGCCATGGAGAAATCTAATGGATGGAAGAGCATTTCAGGCAGAGGACACACTAACACAGAGACCTAAAAGTAGAAGTGTGTGGTGTGTGTGCATGTGTATGAGTGTGTGGGTGGTGTGGGGGCAGGGCAAGTTCCAAGAATAGTAAGAAGGTCATTGCTGCTAAAATTCAGTCAGTGAAGAAAAGAGTGTAGAAGATAAGATCATGGAGTCAAAGATGGCCAAGTTCTCATAGTCTTTTGCTCTGAGGAATATAGGAAGCCTTTGCAGGAATCTGAAACATAGGCAGGAGATGATCTGAATAGAGTTTAAAGCATCATTCTGGCCTCTGAGCTATGAACAGTCTTTGAAGAGGCAAAGAATGAGGCCATGCATACAGGAATACCACTATATAGCTGGCCCCTGGGATGCCAGAATTGCTTAGTCAATGAATTAATATATGAATGAAGGGAATATAGACACTGAGGATAAGATTCAAAAAGACCCACAGAAGCATCAAGTAATGGGTATATATTTCACAGCAATGGGTATCATACATAGTCCATTGAGTTTATACCATCATAACATGTGTGTGGTTATATAAATACATATAAACATGTATTGCTTGTCTTCAGTGTGGAAAGCACTTTTAATTTTGACAAAAGCTTTTATTTAATTCATGCTACATGTAGTATTGTATCTATTATTGCCAAGCTCCAAAAAAAGGCTACTTCTATTTCCTAAATAACAGCACATTAACACTGCTTGACTAAGTGGGTTTGTTAAAAAATCTGAACTTTATGGAAGAAGCCTGTTCTCTAAAATGTAAAGGTCATAGTTTCAATTACCAATTAGGTTTGTTACTTTTAAAAACGAGAAAGTTTCCACAGCCACAAATTATTTCTCAGCACCTACAAACTTGTAGAGCATTTGTGCAAGCATAAGAAAAGGCCTAGAGTGAATCTAAACCTCCCTATGCAGAACCATCTAGGAGAAGAAGGCAGGACAGATGGCATATTGACAGTAGGTCCACACATGAAAAGAGGTAGGCATCGAAAATGTACTACTTTAAACATACAAGTATAGTTCATATTATCAACTTCAAGGCTGGACAATTTTAAGGTTTGAAGGAAATAGTCAGCTTATAGTTCAAATACTTATCAAGACCAGCACTGGCAATGCAAATTGAACAGAACAATGGACAGATGTGCTCAACTGTATACAAAACAACAACCTTAAGGAGAGAAAATTTACTCTGAATAAGATAAAAAAAGCCTTACATTTTTAGTGTATAAAATAAGCTATATAGGGCCCTCCTTGGTGGTGCAACCGGTTAAAGCACAACACTGTGATGTTATCACTGCCACTGCAGCATGAGTTAGATCCCCAGCCTGGGAGGTGACCCACATGGCGTGGCAGACCTCTCCTGACCCGCCCGCTGCTCCCCTCAGCAGTGTACTTCGTCAGTCAGCCTGTCCTGCTCCCCACTATTTCTCTGGTGAATCTTCTCACCCTCCCCACACCTCTGGTCTATACCCCAGTTCTGTACATAAATAAATAAATCTTAAGAAAAATGAAATAAGATATATAAACAGTTCAGAAGTAGGTATCCAGTCTGTGATATGAACATTTCAATGGAATGGGTGCTTAGGGAAAAAAAAAAAATCTCTAAAGATTCCAAGAGAAAAAACAAAGATGTGGAGAAACATTTGTCTGCTGGGAAACAGTGATTATAAAATAAAATATGACAGTGACCTTGGTCATGAAGCTGCGGTTGTTGCATAAACACATCCAAGCAACATAGAACTCGGTTTGGAGGGGCCTCAGCTGCGCTGGCGGCCCAGGCCGGCAGGCGAGCGATGCTTAGAACAAGGCAGAGCGCGTGCAAAGGTACTGGATTATCATTTGCACAAATTTTGTCGAAGAAAATCAAAACAAACCTGTAATTACTGAGGCATATCTTTGCTGGTTGATTCGTGAAATCATATATGCTACAGAGAAAACACTGTAAACTGAATTTGTGTCAATTTTTGGACCTCAAGTGTGTCCTCTCATGTGCAAAGACATCCTGCCCAGAGGCCCTTGCCTCTCCTGCTAGACAATTTCAACAGCCCCTTACTGTATCTTAGTGTAGAGAAAATATTAAAATTACGTAATTTCCCCTACATTTCCAATGGCTAAATTTTTACAAACTTACAAAGTTCACATTAAAACAAAACAAAAAAAAAAAACAAAAAACTCCTACAACCATGAATCTTATACTATTTTCTGCTTCTAAAAAAATCATTTCCCCCTGTGAACAAATACCATTACAGTGTTTATGCTATTAGTCTAATCAGTTGATCTCTCTAAAGTGGTTGCCTACACATTTTGTATGCTCTGCTAGATTTCAAATAATTTAGATGATGCTTTGTGCTGTCCCATTGAAATATAGGTTGAGTCGTATAGTAAATATTATACTTGGAATATATACTGAAAATATTATACTTAATATCATAAAGCTTTTTTTTAAAAGGTGATATTACTTTTCATAATGTAGTTTAACCCCAATCAAAATATTATAATTGACTATGAAATCAATGTAGAGTATTGAGATATTTATGATTCATATACCGAGTCTATGACATTCTGAGTATTTTTACTCTTGCTTTATTTTCAGTTAGGACTAATCAAATGTCAAGTGTCCCATAGACTTGGGTCGACAGTGGCTGCCATGTAGGATGATATGGCTAAATGACCTATGTTATACTCAAAAGCTCTGTGTTTATCATAATACCTAGTATGACATGTTCACTACTTCAGAAGTTTAATTACTATTTATCACATTAACCAAGTACTTTTCTAATTATTTTTAATCAGTGTAAAAATCTAACCTCCAGGAAGCACATTTCTACTGTTCATAACACAAAAAAGTAAACACGTGGAAAATAATTTTGTTTTTCCTTAAATTCATCTTTGTAAGATGAATTCATAAAATGATTTTTCCAGTTGTGTTTCTCATTAATAATATACAAAGAAGTACAAAGTCCTAGACCACTGAAAGAAATAGCATATAGAGGAAAGAAAGAATGTGTAGAGTAATAATGTTATTTGTGAACAATTCAGTCCTACTTTCCTGATAACAATGAGAATTTTAGACATGTGAAATTAACTTAAAACAAAACATTTGTAAATCTTTGAAAATACTTTGATGTCATTTTTCTGCTCACCACATGTGATTTTGCCTTAAAATATTGCGTGCTGAACTGTATTCAGTATTTTCATAAATGATTTCCCAGTTTCTCATATGAAATTACATAAAACAAAGTCCATTATTTTCATAGTTACTAACAACATACTGCCAACTAGATCAACTTGAATTGTTGGTACTAGAAAAGTTGATATGAGAGAAAGTGGAGCTCTGGATATGTGTTCCCCAACTCTGCACATTGGACCTAACCATGCCTTCTTTATCACCTTTATCTTTTTTTGTTTAAAGATTTATTTATTTGTACATACAGAACTGGGGTACAGGCCAGAGGCTCAGGGGCGGTGAGAGGCTTCACCAGAGACAGAGTGGGGAGCAGAACAGGCAGATCGACGAAGTACACTGCTGAGGGGAGCAGCGGGCGGGCCAGGAGAGGTCTGCCATGCCATGTGGTCACCTCCGGGGTAGGCGGGAATTGAACTTGTGAGGAAGTGGCTTTAGCTTCTCAGTGCAGTGCTTTAACCAGCTGCACCACCAGGAAGGGCCTATCTTTTAACCATAATATCCAATAGGATTGATAGTAAGAATGAACAAATTATGAGCATTGGGATAAGAAAAATAACTCACCTTTGGCAACCTCACTGGTAATTTGCAAATTGGTAACTCATCATGGTTTTCATTGGTCTTAAGAAATTGATCCAATTTCTTATCCAATATCTTTTCTTTGGGGACTTTATAAACTGCAATGGTGCCCTTATAATGAGGGCAGCTATAGTTTCCAAATTCATCCACTTCTTTGATTTGGAGTTCCAGCCTGGGTTTTCTTTGTAAATGAAAAATAATTTTGTAGTCTTTTCCATAATCCTTCCCATTGCCTAAATAAAAGTAAATGCCTTTGTTACTATTAAAGTAGACCACGATAAACTAACAAACAGACAAAACCAAACCAAAACAAACTTTGGAAACTTGGCTGTGGAATGGAGGCTACCAAAGGGGGGCTTTGGGGAAAGAGAGCAAGATGGCAAGAGTGTCCAATTGGCTGTGCAGGATTATGGGTGATCTGGAGGCAGTTGAGGTGTGGGATGATAAATCTGAACAGTTATGAAGCTGGGAGCCTCTACCCCTAAGTCTTATACAATGATGTAAACCAACGTTACCTCCCTAAAAATACAATTTTTAAAATATAGATATACCATTTTTCTTTCTTTTTAATTTTTTTTAATGCATATAAGAGCTGGGGTACAGGCCATAGGTGAAGCAGGTTAGGGGATTCACAAAAGACAGAGTAGGGAGCAGAACAGGAAGATTGTCTGAAATGTATTGTTTAGTCAGCATCATCTAAATGATCTGTTGTGCCATGTGGGTCGCTCCCTGGCCGGGTATTGAACTCATGTCACAGTGACTGGCATTAGCTTAATAATGCTGAAATTTGAATTCCTGCACAACCAGGGAGGCCTGATATACCTTTTTATTTTTTCTGATAAAATATTTTGGTAGCCAAATTATTTCATTTAACATTACAATTAAAATTCTCTTGTGTCTTCACCTCTTGACAAAGCATAACCAGGAAAAACAGCCATAGACTGTGATTGTGTAGATAACTGTACAGATTTCTCATCTGTAATCAGATCAGGTGTTCCTGACTGCTTCTAGATCTAATCAGCTTTAATTTTCTTTTCCTGATTCATTTTACTATAACAAGAAACTATTGGAAACATTAAAATCTTTCTGTGTTTAGAAACTTATTTTCACCTTTCAATAATTACCTTCTTTTATTCTAGCTATTTTATGCTCTATTATGAACTCACAATTGACATTCTAGAAATGTATTCTCATATGCTAGCTACCAACATGTGATATTTTAAATCAAAACTAAATCGATTAAAATTAAATAAAAGTAAAGATTCAGTTATATTTCAATAAGAAAATTTAGTAGAAATTCAGTCCTTCAGTCACTTTAACCACATTTCAAAATTCAATAGTCACATATACTAGCGATTACTTTGACAGGTAGAATTAAAAAAACAGTCTACCATCACAGGAAACAATTCTGTTTTAGAACTTTTAAGTGAAATAATTAATACATCCATGTTACTGGAATTTCTATTAAAACCTGATGAATATCCCTTTCTCTCCCAAAACAATGATATTTCTTCTTAACTGCTCATTGAAAAACTGAATAGAATTTGAGTGAACTTTTCACTTTGGAGGGATTTACCCTGACAATCAGAATATTTTACACATTTATGCAGTAGTAAAACAGACTTTTTCATGCTTAAATATAGCAGTTAAGAAAGCCCCATCTCTATTATTTACATATAATTTTACTCCCTTCTTTCAGATCTTTGAGCTTGTTGGAGCTCTTTATCTTTGTTAAACCTTTTTATCTTTAAAACAGGAGAACTAAAACTCAACTCCTAGGATTGTTCTGGAAGTAAAATGAAAGAATATGGCTACAGTAATAGGGTCTGACACATATTAAGCACTCAATAAATAATTGCAATGATAGTCCATTATTGATGAGAAGCAGAAGTTTTCGATTTTTTATAATTGGTTTGATAAAGCAACTGTTAGGTTTTTTAAGAAGAAATTTCAATGTGAAGCTTTCATATCTCAGTTTCAATTCTCTTCCATTCCTAAAAGCCTGAAAGTTGACTGCCAATATTTTCTCTCATGGAAAAGCTTCTATTTTACCTAGGGAGAGAGGACAAAAATAGCCATATTCGTTGCCTAGAGATCATTTTTGTGAACTGTTACATCACAAGAAGATTCAGAATTTGAATGACTCCAGGTTATGGGAAATATAGGGGTATGTCTCTTTGCCCAAGGCTATAGCTGAGAAACAAAGTGGTTAATTGAAAAAAGGCTCCTAGGATGTACTAGCAGGGAAATGCTAGCTTGGGTTTGCCTTCTTCAGAGCTTCACTCTTGGAAACAAGCATGCACGGCAAATGATTGGAGTCACTGGAATGTCCTCTAGTAAATTGTAAATTAGGTTTTCTAGATCATTGGAGTAACATCTGAAAAACTGCTACACCTATACCACCAGAGTCCAGGTTAGAAAAACATTGTTCGTCTAGTCCCTATAGAGTATAACTTGGTAAATTTCTACTTCTACGTTTTTTTTTTTTTTTTTTTTTTTTTTCATAGAAGAACTTGGTTGTAGGCCAGAGGTCCAGGGAATAAGAGGATTCACCAGAATAATCAGAGTGGGGAACAGGCAGATTGACAAAGTGCACTGCTGAGGGGCGCAGCGGGCGAGTCAGGAGAGGTCTGCCCCGCCATGTGGGTCAGCTCCCTGGCTGGGGATCGAACTCAGGCCAACGTCGTAATAGCACTGAGACTTAACCCCCGGCCACAAGCAAGGTATTCCCTGTATATATTTTAAAAGACTTTATACTCCCTTTCTGGTACACAATATCTCATAAGAAATAATTTATATATGTGACATATATAATGAGGTTGGCTCAATTTAGATATAAAAATGCCTGCCTTTTATTGCCAGTGTTTTTTAAAATAAAGATCTATCATGCAAATTTCTAAATTTTATATATGAAGTAGGGATGAAAGTACTGAAGATTTACTAATAGTAAATAGCATGAGAGTAATGCTAAAATCAAAAGTGTGATATAACTATTTTGAAGTTGGAATTCCATTGTTGCTAATACATCACGCTCTAATAAATTAATATGGAAATTTAGACATTTCTCCAAGTCATCAACTCTTTAATCACATAATAATGTTAGCTCCTTCCCCATGTATTTGACTTCATTTTTCCAACAAATACTCAATGTGCTCCATCTCACTGTCAAACATCTAGATACCAGACATCAAGTGGCCATCACTGGCAGGACAGTCTCACCCCTCGTGAAACTATAGTAAGAGAAAATAGCACAGAGCATTAAATCTGTGGAAAGGTCCAGAGAAGGGAAATACGTGAGGCTCTGAAGACGTTAAATAAGAACTGACATCAGGAAAAAAGATTGCATCTCTGAACTTGTCCATCAAGATAAAGATGTGGAGAAACAGTAGGAGCTCACTGGGAAAGGGCAGGTGGTGAACCCTTGGGGACAGAACTTCTGATGGTGAGTAGTTGAGATTCACAGAGACAGTCCAGGCCATACTGGAAGGATGTGGTGTCAGTTCTTTACTGAGGGCTGTGCTCTGAAAAAATAGCCCAGAGAGACTCCAGATCTGAGCATATGTCTGTAGAAAAAACAAAGCCGAGAGGATGCTGGCATCCTGCCTGACACATTTCCCTTGGGTGAAGATGAATTGTTCTTCCCTTGTGTTGAGGAATTGCCCACGCACTTGTTGTTGGGAACACTCTTATTTTAACATATGTTCCCCTCTCCCCAGTCTAGGCAGTAGGACACCCCGTACCACCGCCTGTGGGAAGGACAGTAACTCACTCCTGTTTAGGGCAGTTGATAAACACAGCTGCTGTCTTAAGTATTACAGGAAAATCATTTGCATCATTAGTTTGGGTGGGACACTTCCAGTCTGTGACTATCTCTCCTTAGAAGGACACTACAGTCTCTGCACCGGAAGCCAAATAGGAAGAGATCTTTTCCACCCTTCCTTCCCCTCTCCTCTTCCTACCCTTCCCCTTTTTTCTGACAGCCTAGTCACTCACACACCAAATCTTGTCACCTGACTGAGGTGGCTGAGACACTGCCTGGGAGAGGCACACTTCCCAGTGGGACACTTGGGTCTCACTTATTTCTTTGGGCAATCTCAGTTTCTGCCCACAACAAGTAACACAGTGGTGGTGTGACCTGAGACAAATTTAAGAATCACAGAGAAAAGAGGCATCATTAAAAATCTGTGGTCTCTATATCATTTTCTAAGTAGACAGAATACCCTAACTCAAATCTACAGTAAGACTTTGATGCCAGAAATTCCCCCTAAAACCTACCACTGAAACCCATCTTTTCCTGCCTAGCAGTAGATTCTGTTCTATCTCAAAATAACAGATTACAGATGGGACCTGAATCAATAAAAAGAAAGAGAAAGAAAAAAATCGCTATTACGAAAGTTCCCCCAAAGGTCGTTTTTCTCTGCCACTGTCATACAGCTGTTGTTCTTCCATGTTTCCCCTCTTTCCCTTCATCTCCTTCCTCTTCTTTCTGATGCAGTCCCTCCCTTCTCCAAGTCAGCTACCACCGTATTCACTCCTCTTGTTTACATTTCTCAACAGCACATATTCATCCAGTCACTACATATTTATAGAAAAAACTTTGGTGTATCAGACACTATGCCAGATTCAAAGGAATAAAGCAAGAAAGACGTTGGCATTGCCCTCATCCAATTTACATTTCAGTGAAGAACACAAGATAAACATTTGAGTGAAAAGTAAGCAAATAAGGGAGACAATTCCAAATTATGGTAACATTATATGGAAAGAAAAATGACTCAATGAACTTGCAGTGATCGGTCAGCAAGTCGTGAGCCTTTCTGGGGCTTGGTTGAAACGATCAATTATTTTCAAAGTAGTCTTTTAAATATATAAATAAAATGAATAGAAATACAAAAAAGCTAATTACATTGGAACATTATTGATCCACACATCTGAGGCTTAATAACCTCAGTCTAATTTTTTTGTAAGCATTGTAAAGAGTTTAGAAATTATTTTAAGTTAGCTGTAAGTATAAAGCTTAAATCAGGGTAATAAAGTATGACTTATATATTTAAAAGATCATTGCTGTTATTACATGAAATTAGTGGGTGCAGAGCAATATTTAGAAAGAAATTACATTGGTGCAGGAAAGAGATGATTTTAGCTTGGATTAAGTAATGACAAAGAAGCCTATGTCTAAAAAAGTGTCACTTAAAGTCTCCCATGGGGGAACATGCATTGTCTAAGTAAAGAAGAAAGAGTAGACAGGAGGAAGGAAATACATCTTTTTCTTCCATTTTTTAAAAGCCTCTCATCCCCCCCTGGAGGTTTCCATAGCAAGACAAGTTTATGAAACTCCCCATGATGTTTGTACTTGAAGTTCACAGACTGTGCAAAAATATTTATTTGTACTTACTTGAGGCAAATATGTTTCCAGTAAACCTTAAAAGAAGTTGTTCTCCTTCTTTCACTGGGAAATGGCGTGATGGCTCCAGAGGGCCACTGAGCCCTTCTGAGCGCAAGTGTTTGAGCACCTGGCTTAGGTCTTTAGACGGCACCACTGAAACAACTATTCGGTGTGGATTGTCTTTTTGGTGATACAGCACGATGCAGGCAGTGGTGCTGAGCAGGGCTGCCTCTAGGGATTTCACAAAAGACACCAAATGGCTGTTGTCCACAGTGGAAGAGAGCTGAAGCACAATAAACCTGTAGTGGAGGAAAGAGAGGGGATCTGCAGTAAACAGACATGGCCTCATCAATAGCATTGGGACATTAGTGGCCAAGAAAGGAGCCATTATCAAGAGCCACTGTCATGCAAATTTCCTTTACAGTCAAGCATTCTGATAACCAATTGGCTAGATCCATGAGTGACATCACAGAAACTCTAGACAGTCAGGAAATCAGCTGAAATCAAACCAAATTGTAAAGTAGAAGGACGTAAATAAGAAATGGCCCAGTCTCAGCCCAGTTGAGGCATGCTGAAATTTTAATTAGCCTTACCAAAGACTATTACTTCAAAATGTAGAAGAGAAAGATGATTAAATTCATTAGTTCAGTACCAAAAGACACAGAGTACAGACATCACAATTAAATGAGGATTGAAATATTCATCTATATCACAGTGTGGTTAGGATCATTATGAAGAATTTGTTATGGGTTGTGTAATTGTACCCACTCCCCAAAGTCATATGTTGAAGTTTTAACCACTGTATCTCAGAATTGACCTGATTTGGAGTAAGTTCTTCAGAGGCAATCAAGGTAACATGATGTAATTAGAGTACCCCCTAGTTAAATAGGTCTGGCGCCCTATTCTAAAAAGGTGGACATTTGAACAGAGAAGCACATACAGAAATCATTTCATGTTAAATAAAAACAACCACCTTAATCCAAGGAGACAGCCAGATTCTTCCTTCAAAGGAACAAACTTTGCGAACACCTTGATTTTGAACTTTTAGCCTTGGAAGACTGTGACAGTACAGTTTTGTTGTTTAAGCCCCTAGTTGGTGAAACCTTCAAGATAGTCCAGCAAAATAACATAGACCCCCTGTCCCCGAGCCAGAATACCTATCACCCAGCTCCTCCAGAGAATCGCCCGACATGAACTCCCTCATCCAGGCATCCCTGCACCCACAGAAAAGGATTGATGGATGGCTTTAAGGCCAGTCTCTTGGGATTCTCCTGAGGAATCAGGCAGGGGTAAAACGTCTGGTGAAACCATCGTTGTTCTCATATTCCTTCCTTACCCTACAGGTGTGTTTTCTAAGGCTTCACCTGAGAATGATAAATCATTTGCATTCTTAAACTCTGCTTTGGGGCAAATGACCTAAAGCAAGTGTGGATGTAAGACATTCCATTATGAAATAAAGGCTGTCTTTAAACATACAAATTGCTCACTCTTTCTGCTGAGTGTCTATTGCTTGTGAACCTTAAAAATGTCTAAAACTCTTCTTATAATAAGCTGTCTAGAAAACATGGAAATGAGAAAGTAAAATGAGGACACTGAAATAACATATTCAGTTTGTGCGTATCTATATGTGTGTGTGTGTGTGTAATAATGTGATAAGCATAATATGAATCTTTAATTACTATTTCATGGAATTTCAGAAATGAAGTTAACCATTTTAAAACTATTTTAGACTTAGAATAAACCATGTAAGAATAAATCTAAGTTATTACTGGTTTCCAAAGCACTTATTAAATTACCATGAATGAAATTACAGAAAGTATAGTCATGCCAAATCTGCTTTGCATTCTAAGTACACCCCCAAAGACCTCTTGACATTCCCATTTGAGGAATAAAACTTTAATCCTATGATTCCATTTTCTGTAACTTCTGTTATGGACCATCAGGGTAGAATAGCATCAACTTATATTGTTTACTATATATTACCTCTCTAAGTGCTCACACAATTCAAATGTTATCAAGCCATTCTGCATGGTTCTCACCACAACATCATCGAGTCCAAACCAACCACTGTCTCGACTCCTGAATCCCAGTAATTTCAAAGATTCACTGACATTGTTCCCTAGTTTTCTTATGGAAGCACTTTTTGTCCTGTAGAATGGAAGCACAAGAGAAATTTTTAAAACAGACAGAGCATCAATCATGTTTAGTACATTCATCCTTTCCTTAAAAGTGTATTGCAGGACTCTCCCTGGTGGCACAGTGGGTTAAAGCACTATGAAGCTATCTACAGCCACTGCAGCATGAGTTCGATTCCCTATCAGAAAGGTGACCCACATGGCACAGCAACTGCTCCTGTCTTGTCCACTGCTCCCTTCAGCAGTTTATTCACTGGATCTGCATGTTCTGCTCCCCACTCAGTCTCTGGTGAATCTTCTCGCCTCCTGCACCTCTGGCCTGTACTTAATTCATCAAGTATATATCAAGTATGTGCCAGCAATGTAGCTACAGTGCAGAAATGCAAAGATAAGGAAAATACTCTAAACAGAAGTTCACAGTATTATAGTATTACCCAATGACAGGTCAAAGATAACTGAGCATGTACAAAGGCAGTTAAGAAAAGTCTTAAAGCCACACGATCAAAATATACTCAAGATTTTTGCCAGGATAAGAGAGATCTTCTCCAACTTCCCTTAATATGTTGTCCCTACCATGGAAATGAACATAACCATAACCAGAAAGGTTTCAAGTTTCTCTTTTTTTTCAGAATTTATTTTTCAAGGGAGTTCTCGCTTCAGAGCAAAATTAAAGAGGAAGATTCCCACATACTCCCCACCCCCACACTTGCACGGTCTCCTTCTTGATCAACTTTTCCCGCAGGTGTGAGATTTGTTCAATTGATGAGGCTACTCTGCACAGCCTAGCCATCCACTCAGTAGTTACCATCAGGATTCATCTTTGTACATTCTGTGGATTTGTACAACGGCATAAAGACAAATATCCATCATTAGAGTCTCACAGAATATTTCTGTTGCCCTAAAAAGCCGTTTTTTGGTGAAGTGTCTATTAAGATCTTTAACCAGTTTTGAAAAATGGTGTTATAATTTGGGAGTTACATTTTTACCCTGTCAGAGGCGAACCTGTTCTGCTCACCCGCCACAGACCACCCATGTCAGTACTCTATCCTCTTCCCTCCAACTCTCCTCCTCTCTCCCCGGGCCCATTTTTTAATTGTAGAACTCATAGTTGAGTTCAATGTGTTCTTTGTATGTCTTAGATAACAGTCCTGTAGCATATGTGTTTTTCACAAATCCATCTCTCAGTATTTGAAGACTGATATTTGACAAAGGACCCAGAAGCTGAACAGTGCAAGCCTTGTTAAGATGGAAACCCTGCCTGGGGAGCTAGGGTTGGGTGTCAATTACAACATTCAGTCATCAAGCAGATGAAAAGCACCCAGAGGGCAGACTCAGGCTCCTTCAAACTATGCAAGACAGCTCCACCCTCCCCTTCTCCTACAATGATGCTGTATGATTGTTTATCAATAAAAAGGCCAGGATTGGGCCTTCCCTGGTGGCGCAGTGGGTTAAAACACAGCACTAAGAAACTTAAGCCACTTCTGCATGAGTTCGATTCCTGCCTGCCCCGGAGGAGATCCACATGGTGCGGCAGACCTCTCCTGACCTGCCTGCTGCTCCCCTCAGCAGTGTAGTTCATCGATCTGCCTGTCCTGCTCCCCGCTCTGTCTCTGGTGAATCCTTCTCACCCTCCATATCTCTGGCCTGTACCCCAGTTCCATATGAATAAATACGTCTTAAAAAAAAAAATGTACACAGCACCCTGCATTATGTAGCCTGCTCCAAACTCCCATTTCTTTATCAGTGTTGCGTTGCCCAACGCAACAGAAATCTCATAATTCCAGATAAAAATTAAGCAAGCCTACAGCCTCTGCTTTTTGCTTTTGGAAAATCTGAAGCCTTTGTGGTTTTGCAGATCAGTTCTATCACACTTTCAAGGAAGAAATCATTTCGAGTTTAAGCAGATTTTCAGATAATGAAAAAAGGAATTTATTCAATCCATTTTATGAGGTCAGATAAAGTCTTCACTTTGTTAAAAGCAAAGGCAATTACAGCCTGACCTCACTCATGAATTTAGAAAGAAGAATACTAATAAAATATGAATCGGTACACCAGTTTTAACAGTCAATTAAAATAATGCATCATCATTAAGTTTATTCAAGGATTTGAATGGTGCTTTAGCATTAGAAAAGCTATACTCTTCTATATAAAGCTATCTATACTTGATAAAATTCACATCAAGACACATTAAAGGGGATTCCTGTGACATCTCCATAGGTGTATGAAACATTTTAAAGTGACACAACCCATTTTTTAATTTTTTTTTTTTTTTTTTTAAAAAGATGTATTTATTTGTGCATACAGAACTGGGGTAACAGGCCAGAGGCTCAGGGGTGGCGAGAGGCTTCACCAGAGACAGAGTGGGGAGCAGAACAGGCAGATCCACGAAGTACACTGTTGAGGGGAGCAGCGGGCAGGTCAGGAGAGGTCTGCCGTGCCATGTGGTCACCTCTGGGGCAGGTGGGGATCAAACTCATGCGGAAGTGGTTTTAGCTTCTTAGTGCAGGGCTTTAACCCGCTGCGGCACCAGGGAGGGCCATTTATTGATTGTTTTTATTTGTTATTGTTGAGTTGCATAAAGTGTTTGGAGTTCATGGAATTAGCCCCTTATCAGACACATGACTTGCTAACATTGTTTCCTATGTAGTAGGGTATCTCTTCATTTTTATTATTTTTTTAAAGATTTATTTATTTGTGCATACAGAACTGGGGTACAGGCCAGAGGCTCAGGGGCGGCAAGAGGCTTCATCAGGGACAGAACGGGGAGCAGAACAGGCAGATCGACGAAGTACACTGCTGAGGGGAGCAGCGGGTGGGCCAGGAGAGGTCTGCCATTCCATGTGGTCACCTCTGGAGCAGGCGGGGATCCAACTCATGCGGAAGTGGCTTTAGTTTCTCAGTGTTGTGCTCTAACCCACTGCGCCACCAGGGAGGGCCTCATTTTAATGATCATTTTTGTGCAGAAGGTTTTTGTTTTAGTTCTGTCTGTTAATTTTTGCTTTTGGTTCCTCTGCTGTGGGAGATGTGCTGCCAGAGACATATCTGAAGCCCTGTTGTGGAGTATTGTGCAAATGCTTTCTTGTATATATTTTTATGGGTTTCAGATCATACACCTTTACTCCATTTTGAGTTAATTTTTGTGTATGGCGTGAGATACTGGTTTAGTTTCATTCCTTTTCTTGTGATGTCCAGTTTTCCAAGTACCATTCATTTTTGAGACTTTCCTTTCTCCATATACTCTTGGTAGTTTGGGCATAGTTCGACTGTCCATGCTATTGACTTCTGGGTTCTCAAATCTATTCCGTTGGTCTCTATGTCTAGTTTTAGTCCAATAACTTTGTAGTATAGCTGAAACCTGGGCATGCTATTCTTTAGTTCTTTCTCTTTCTAGTTGGGATTGTTTTGGCTATTCAGTTGCAAGTAATGAGAATTTAGGAAGGCGATTGACTTCCTTACCATCATAGGGAATTCTATGTTTATTTATTTCCCCAACAAACATCAAATGAAAAATTTAAATGCTTTTAATAATGGCAGACAAAACTATCTCATATCTATAAATAAACCTAGAAAATATTATGTAGTACACATTTTGAAATATTTATAACATTTCATTGGAAGACACTAGTATTTCAAATAAATGGATGCATATATTATGGAAATAAGTATTTCAATGTGGTAATGATGGGATTTTTTTTTTCAAATTGACCTATAGGTCATAAGCAATTATAACTAAAATCCCAATAGAGCTTGTTAACTTATAGAAGTTGACAAGCTTTATTTTTTGTATGAATGAGAATTTTCAAGACAGAAAAACATTCATGCAGAAGGAGAATATATGGTTAGAGACTTAATTACCAGTTACAAAACTTATTATATTATAAAAATTTAATTATTAAGATAATGTTAGACTGACTTAAAACTAGGGGGAAAAGAATAACAAATAAAACCAACTAACAAGCTCAGCAGAAGGAAATTTGGTGTGTAAGAATGGAGTCATTGTGGTTAATTGAGGGGAGAAAGAACCATTCAATAAACAATGCTGAAAAATGTTTTTCATATGGAAAAAATTAAATTCTACTTCCCAATATCTGAAAAAGTCATTTTCTTACGGATTGAATACTTACATGAACTTAAACCTTTAAAATATATAATAGGAGAAAATATGATTTCAACATAAAAATATTTGTGACAAAAATCAAAAACATTAACCGTAAATGCAATGAAATGAATTTGACACATGAAAATGAAATGCAAGTCACAAACTGGCAAAGCCGTAGCACTGAGAATTTAAGAAATTCTATTAATGTAGAAAATTTTAAATGAGTAAAGGAATTAATAGACACTTCACATATCAGAAAATAGGATGTCTGTCATCAGAATGTTGAAGATTGAACCCACATGAGATCCATTTTGCATCTGTCGGATACTCAAAGTCACACAGTCTGACAGTATGCAAGACTGGAGAAGATGAGCAGCATCCGTGGGGGATTGTACTGAGTTTCTCTTAAGTTTTCTCTTTAATGTCACCACGCTGTATTTTTTTCCCTACCTGTTATTTCTATATATACCGTATTATTTTTTCACTTTTGTTTTTGCTTTTCAAAAAAATATTTATTTATTTATGCATACAGAGCTGGGATACAGGCCAAAGGTGCAGGGGCAGTGAGATGATTCACCATAGACAGAGTGGGGAGCAGAACAGGCAGATGTACTGAAATACACTGCTGAGGGGAGCAGCGGGCAGGACAGAAAAGGTCTGCTGAGCCATGTGGGTCACCTCCCTAGTGGGGGATCTGACGCATGCTGAAGCCGCAGCTAGGTTGTAGTGCTGCCCTTTAAGCCATTGTGCCACCAGGTAGGGTCCTCTTTCTGCTTTTATATCATTTATGCTTGATGCCAGACTTTAAAAATAAGAAATTCTATTCACAGAACATGTGAAATCATACATAGGCATATTATCCATCATCCCACTAACTAGACTTCTAGAAGAGTGCTCTAAAGTACTTGCATAAA